TTCACACCTCCTCACTTTGACTTCAATTTATTTTTTTTTCCCTTTAATGTTGCTTTAGAAGCTCGCTACAAGGATTAGATTGGAAAAAAGGATTCTCATTCAGCCCCTGCGCTGGGCAGAGGTGGGGAAGAGGCTGGCACAGATGCTCGATGTGACCACAGAATTAGCCTTCAAAGCGAGCAGATGGCTCAATCTCAATAAACCCCTCGGAGAAATTCACGGAGGTCTTTGAGGTTTCAGTTTGCTTCGCGTGTTTTCTCCAGGGGCTGCACAGGAAGGAGAGAGGGGGCTGCTCTGGGCTGAGGAACTGGAAGGCTGAAAGCAGGTTCGTCCGCCGACAGCACACGTTTCTTGGTCTCTTGCAACAAAAAAAACATCTTATCTGAGCAAATGTCACCTCATAGCAGAAACGTCAGGTGGGGTCTTGCGCTGTCCCCACAACCGGGCGTGCGTCACTCCCGTGTGGGGTCTCTGGGATGCTGACATGGAGCAGCTGTGCCCGAGGAAGAGGAGGAGGAGGAGGACGAGGAGTGAGCATCTTCATGACCCTGGAGGTTATTAAAGTGCCCTGGGAACCGGCCGTGGGGCATTTGTGTGGCAGCACCGCCACCCCAGAGATGGTGCCCGTGCTGGGTCGGTCGGAGGGAGCTGCAGTTCAGGCTCCTGGGTGGAATGTGGCTTTGCTGCCACCGCGGTGACGCCAGGGCAGCGTGGTGGCTGGCGTGCCGGGAGGATTCACTGTGAGGGCTGGTGTTGCTGCAGCTGTGGGGAGGCCAAGCATGTCTCTCCTCCTCTCTCCATCCCTGGCTTCCAGCACATCACCCTGCCTGTCTTGGCCGTTTTCCCCGTTTTCCTCATCCCACCCGTGGGTAGAAGCATCAGAGCAGCAAGAAAGCCCAGCTTTCACACCCCGGTGGACGATGCGAGCCGGTAGCTGGGCATTTATCTGAGGGGAGACTCTGACCTTTCCTGAGCTCCTCTGCTGTAATAGATCGTGCACAAATAGTTCACAGCTCCCAAAAACGCTCTGGCTTCAATCTTGCAGGGGTGCACTCAGCAGAGCGGGTGATGCAGCATGGAGACCAAACTCAGCGTCGGGGGACTGGTCGGTCCCCGCGTTCCTCGGGGAATAGCCGTGCGCAGGGAGATGCCGTAAGCAAGTGACCGTCACACCGTCTCGCATTCGTGGTGGCTCCGGGGTTAACCTCCTTTCTGAGTTGCCCACGAGCTCCTTTTCTTCTCTGACTTCGTAGGCATCCAGCTCAACTTTATTAGAAAACCCGTGTTTCTGATGAGTGCAGCTCTTTAAGTCAGAGGGATGATTCACAGTAAAGTTTGAGCTCTACCTCCAAACACGTTGTTTCGGGCTCTGAAGCACAAGCTTCAAGGAATGGGCAAGAGCTCAACACCCCCTTGTTAATATAGCAGAAAGAACAAGCTGTTACGCACAGCACTAAAAATAATTGCAAGGCTTTGAGCCCTCCTCCCAGTTGTAGCAGAAGGATGCTCTAAGCGCCGATGGCCGAATCCATCTCTGGCACGGCTCTGACTTGACGATGCATTAAAGCTTTTGTGACTTTTTGAAGCTCAGTTCAGATAAATGCAGAGCAGCGCGGCTGCTTTTCTGGAGCCAGCATGATTTCTAACTTGGATGAGAGTGGCTCGGGGCAAACCCAAAAGCGGGTGTTCCCAACAGGGACGGCGCCTTTTTCATTAGAATTTTACCAGGGAAACTTAAAAAGGGGAGAAATGCCCGAAATAGCTGAGGTTAGCCCAGCAGCTGACAAAGCATCTCTCTGTCAGTCGTGTCTTGAAAGCGGGATTCATCTGGGAAATAACGACGTGGTATAAATAGTATAAATAACAGCCACGAGGCTGTTTGGGGGGAGCCGTGCTCAGGCCAGGGAGGATACGGGCTCGCCTGGGGCATGCCGTGAGCATCCCTGCCGATGGCCTGCCTTCCTGAGCGCGGGGTGCCGGGGGGAGCCTGGAGACCTCCGCGCTCAGTGCAGAGCCCCACGAGCATCTTCACCCGGCATCCTCTCCCCCATCTCCCTCGGCTGCGACGTTGTCTCCCCTGACAGGCGCTGATGGAGATGTCTGCCCGGACAAGGCCATCGGCCACCCGGGGTGACGGTGATCCGTTACCACGCAGTTTCTTCCGCCGACGTACAAGTTTTTATTCATTCTTTTGTTTTTACAACAGCAGCCAACGGAGGCGCTTTGTCACCGCTTGTGACTAAAGAGCACAAAGGGAGAGCGGCTGAAGAGTTTGAGCTATGATAAAACGCTCACTGTATTGATCTTGGCTCTGGATTTGTTTCCCTTCTTGCATTAACTCCCCATCGATTGCCATCATGACCTTAGAGCGTACGGTTTTGTCGGCCTTCTCCCTCCGCCGGCAGCACCCCCGTGCCCGCACCCTGCTCCCCTCCCAGCCTTGCCGAACTGCTGCCGCTGCTCTGGGCTCGGCAGAGCTTTGTTTTTGCCTCCTCCATCGTCAGAGGTTTGTTGGTATAAGTTAGTTGCCGTAGTTAGTTAGCACAGAGGTTAGCGCTGTATGGCACTAACTTGTTACTGCTTGAGCGTCAGGTCATTATTTTAGTGCATTGTCCCAGTAAACTAGATCCGAGGGTGAGGAGTCCTGGCAGGAGTTAAAGAAGGGGCTTGGGTTTGCCCTAGACACGTTTCCCCTTGTTGGGGACCCCCACAGGGCTGTGTTGTTGCTGCATCAAAGGAGCATGGTGTACAGGGAGCAAGGACGATGCTGACTCCTGCTCCTCGGAGTGGCTGGTTGGGGTGATGGTGCTCGTGGAAAGCCCCATTCCTTGGCCAGGTTGGCTGGTTGGGATGATGGTGCTCATGGAAAGCCCCATTCCTTGAGTCCTGGCAGGAGTTAAAGAAGGGGCTTGGGTTTGCCCTAGACACGTTTCCCCTTGTTGGGGACCCCCACAGGGCTGTGTTGTTGCTGCATCAAAGGAGCATGGTGTACAGGGAGCAAGGACGATGCTGACTCCTGCTCCTCGGAGTGGCTGGTTGGGGTGATGGTGCTCATGGAAAGCCCCATTCCTTGGCCAGGTTGGCTGGTTGGGGTGGTGGTGCTCACTGAAAACCCCATCCCTTGGCCAGATAGGGTTCTCCAGCACTGCCGCAGACTTGCTGAGGTGACACAGAGTGAAGTTCTTCCCATCTTTGCAAGGGGCAGTGTGAGGTTTGCAGCTGCCGCTCCGGATGCGCAACATGAAAGTCAGCTTTGTCCTTGTTCCCTCGTAACTCCAGCTCTCACTGTGAAATTGTTTAATGGCACTTTTAAGAAAAAGTACCTTCCTCAGGGTCGTGGTGGGGGCTTTGGCTCCCTTCACCTGTGTCAACCTGCGGCCAAAACCCTCGGAGCCGGGGAGCATTACCGGGGTGAGCATGGGGACAGCAACAGTGCTGATTGCCATGTCCCGAGCGTGAGGTGCTGTTGTGTCCGGCCACTGATGCTCTGCTGGGCTCCTTGGCTTTAGTTGGTTTTGCAAGTTTAGTTTTGCAAGTTTGGTTTTTCTATTTATTTAAGTATTTATGAGCTTGGATGCTCTAAATGGGAAGAGGAATGGCGACTGTCCAGGTTTCCTTTCCCCTGTGAGGTTGGATGCTTTCAGTGCTTGTGATTCGCTTTTTTAGTCCACCCAGAGACAATTTTCTGTAAAACATTGACATCTAGTGGCTTTTCTGCTGAAGGGAACGATAGGGAACAAAAGATTGGCTGCAGCGTGGCCGGTCATGATGCCACTCAGGAAAGCAAATGAATGTCCCTTCTCCCCCTTGGGCAGCACCGAGGACATGGCGATCACGTCCCAGGGGCTCGGGGCTCCAAGGCACACGCTCCTCGGTGTCCTCGTCCTGGAGGAGTGGCCTTCCCTGGCAGGCAGATTTGCTTATTGAGCTACTTTAATTCCATTTACTTGAGCAGATGGCTGGTATCCTGACAGCGTACCTCCGGCATCATCACTGAGGTCGTGGTCATATTAAAGGAGGTGTGAAGAGCTCGATGTGTATGGCTTCGGGCTGCCGATGGTGGAAAACTGAGTGTTTGACGGTGGATATTAACGTGTGACCCAGAGTGATGTCCTGATGGTCTACGTAAGGCTGAGCTTGCAGCTTTTCCAGCTGGCAGCCTGGTGGGGTTCCCTGCGGCAGCGTGTCCCCCGCGTGTGCCACCCTCCTGTTGTTCCACACCACGGCCAGCACCTCCCTTGGCAGTGTTTTCTCTGACAAAACGCTGTCGTGCGTCCTTTAATTCCCTGTTATTCACTTATCTCTCCTCTCTCATCGTTGCAGCCCTGTATCAGGTGAAGGCAGGAGGATAAAATGGGATTTGCACGGGCAAATCCTCATTTCAGCGCGGGTGGGTTGAGGCTTCTGGGCACATCCCATTTGTCTGGTCCGCGAAGGGAAATGTCTGGTAGGAGATGTCCTCCTCGGCGGCGTAACGCTGCTCTGGGGCACCTGCGGCTCAGACCCACCGCCGCTCACCGGGCAAGGCAGCATGAGCAGCTCTTTGCAGACTAGGGAAACTTGGGGGTCCAGCTCTCTTGTATAAAGACAATAAAAAAGCCAGAGGTTCCCCTGCCCTCCTTGGGTTGAGGCTTCCATCCCAGGAGATATTTTGATTATTCTCCCAAGGTCTGGGGATAGCGTCGGTTGAGGCACCCAGCGGGAGCACGTGGCCACATGGGCCTCTGCGCGAAGGGAGATGTGGGGTTCCCTTCCACCTGGGTAGAGGCAAAACTCGTTAAGCACAGCCAGATGTGTGCAGGTATCTCTAACCCTTCCCGCTCTCTCCAGGGGGGTTGGTTGAGGCGTCCTTCACCCCGGCGAGGTGAGCACACAGAGGCGCGCTCTGCAGCCGGGCTCCTCAAAGCCTCTTAAGTGCATCTCCACGTTTCTATTGATTTTGAACGTTAATGCACCATGTGCTCGGAGACGCGCAGGAC